ACTGTTCGGTGTATGTGTGTATATATGTATATATATATATACACACATACACCGAACAGTCAGTCAGTTCAGGACTGAACTGAACAGTCAGTCAGTTCTCAGCTGGTTTATTAGGAACCTGGATTTAAATGTTTTAATGAAAACGTTCCTTCGTCTTTAACCTCAGCTGTTCTTACTCGGTGTTGGTTGAATATTAAGCTCAGCCCGACAGCTGCTGCTGCTGACACCTAGAGGCCAACGGGTGAATGACATGACCAACAGCTTCACTCTGACTAGTTGGTTGGTAGGCTTAGTTAAATAGCTGTAGGTTGAGTTAGTCTGGGGTTTTCACTGTGGGGTCTTTTTAGGGGGGTCATGGAGGGGTCAGCCTCTGGCCATTTTACTGGACGTTGGTATTACACAGCACAGTCACACATGAATACGACACTGAGACCACCAAGACCACCTTTCCCTCCATTTTGTTGCATTTCTACTGTTGAGTCCTGTAGCTACACCCCCCATACCCCCCCCCCCCCATCCCAAAGACTCTGGTTCAGGGCTCAGGTGTCAGGCCGGGGCAGAACCAGGATTATTTTTGAATTGATTATGTTACAAGAAACATCTTTGGCTGATATAACAAGGACGTCATCTATAAATAACAGTTTCAACCACGTCCTGTATCTAAGGTTGGGCTTCTCTGGGTCTTACCCAGTTTCAAATACGGCAGCAGCTGGAACTAACTCAGGGTTAGGGTTAGAGTTAGCGTTAGCGTTAGCTCGCAGCGTAAACGGTCTAAAGTTTTGTGTTTGACCTTTTTATTATTTGTTTTTTTTCTCTTGTTTTTCAAAAAATGTCCTTTTTTTAATGTTGGTTTTGTGTGTGTGCGTGATGTTAATTATCTGTCTGATTCAACACGTGCAGAATGTGCCCACCTGCTGCTGGCCCACAATGCACCAGTAAAGGTGAAGAACGCTCAGGGATGGAGCCCCCTGGCAGAGGCCATCAGCTACGGAGACCGACAGATGAGTGAGTAGAAGAAGTTCAGCTGTCGTGTTCCCAGGTTCAAACAGAAGAGAGAGAGAGAGAGAGAGAGAAAACACACGGATTCACTGATTCACTCACTAACTAACTGATTCACCCAGTAACTAACTGATTCACTCACTAACTAACTGATTCACCCAGTAACTAACTGATTCACTCACTAACTAACTGATTCACCCAGTAACTAACTGATTCACTCACTAACTAACTGATTCACTCACTAACTAACTGATTCACTCACTAACTAACTGATTCACTCACTAACTAACTGATTCACTCACTAACTAACTGATTCACTCACTAACTAACTGATTCACTCACTAACTAACTGATTCACTCACTAACTAACTGATTCACTCACTAACTAACTGATTCACCCAGTAACTGACTGATTCACTCACTAACTAACTGACTCAGTGTTTACAGAAGTCAATAATTGCCGTTCCCACATACAGCAGTTGGAGATTGCAGGTTGTCAGGTTGATCTTAGAGCCAACTGTTGTAGACGAGTGTTTCACGGTAAATGTTCCAGGAAACATTCAGAGGTTGGTGGCGCTGTAGAGCAACCGGTTTGGAGTGATCGTGTAGATATGTAAGAGCAAAGAAGCTGCTGCTAATGATGTCATCGGTGGTAGAACGTTGACAACTCCATCACCGACTTGACACAGTCATCAACAGTAAATATCCTGAAACAAATCGATTAAGTTCCGTCCGTCGATCTTTCTACCTCTAATGAAGTAACGTTAAACTAAAAACCGTGGATCTGTGTGCCCTGGTTCGTTAGGAGACGTGAGGGCTAACGAATGTAGCATGTGCTAATCTAAGGTCTTCTGGGTTGTTTTTGTCTTGGTTCTAGGTCTAAGGTTCTCGTCCTACGGTTCTAGGTCTAAGGTTCTCGTCCTACGGTTCTAGGTCTAAGGTTCTCGGTCTAAGGTTCTAGTTCTCAGGTCCTAGTTCTAAGGTTCTAGGTCTAAGGTTCTCGGTCTAAGGTTCTAGTTCTAAGGTCCTAGTTCTAGGGTTCTAGGTCTAAGGTTCTGGGTCAAAGGTTCTAGGTCTAAGGTTCTGGGTCAAAGGTTCTAGGTCTAAGGTTCTCGTCCTACGGTTCTAGGTCTAAGGTTCTGGGTCAAAGGTTCTAGGTCTAAGGTGCTAGTTCTAAGGTTCTAGGTCTAAGGTTCTCGTCCTACGGTTCTAGGTCTAAGGTTCTGGGTCAAAGGTTCTAGGTCTAAGGTGCTAGTTCTAAGGTTCTAGGTCTAAGGTTCTGGGTCAAAGGTTCTAGGTCTAAGGTTCTCGTCCTACGGTTCTAGGTCTAAGGTTCTCGTCCTACGGTTCTAGGTCTAAGGTTCTGGGTCAAAGGTTCTAGGTCTAAGGTGCTAGTTCTAAGGTTCTAGGTCTAAGGTGCTAGTTCTAAGGTTCTAGGTCTAAGGTTCTCGGTCTAAGGTTCTAGTTCTAAGGTTCTAGTTCTAAGGTCCTAGTTCTAGGGTTCTAGGTCTAAGGTTCTCGGTCTAAGGTTCTAGTTCTCAGGTCCTAGTTCTAAGGTTCTAGGTCTAAGGTTCTCGGTCTAAGGTTCTAGTTCTAAGGTTCTAGTTCTAAGGTTCTAGGTCTAAGGTGCTAGTTCTAAGGTTCTAGGTCTAAGGTGCTAGTTCTAAGGTTCTAGGTCTAAGGTGCTAGTTCTAAGGTTCTAGGTCTAAGGTTCTCGTCCTACGGTTCTAGGTCTAAGGTTCTCGGTCTAAGGTTCTAGTTCTCAGGTCCTAGTTCTAAGGTTCTAGGTCTAAGCCTTGGTCTCAAGGGTCAAGTGTTTCTCTTTAATAAACCTCAGACTCTCAGACATTTTCACTTCTGTCTGGAACCAGTGCTGCCATGTTGTGGTTCTAGTCCTCCATTAGATAATCCAGATGGTAATCCCACTAATCCCACGACCCATCAATACTGACACATGTACCACGTACCAACCAGCGAAGCCGGTCTTTGGTGGTCACATGACTTACCTCCTCAGTTCTAAAGTGTACTGTTCTATCTCTAACCCACCGTTTGATCCTCTACATGCCTCTGTTTTTCTTGCAGTCACAGCGTTGCTTAGAAAACTGAAGCAACAATCCAGGGAGACGGTGGAGGACAAGAGGCCCAAGCTGCTGAAGGCCCTCAAAGAGGTCAGATATCTGACCTCTCTGTCTTAGGATCTGTTCTGAACAAAAAGTCTGAAACAAGTTGGAGTTGAAGTTGGTATCACATCAGACCTGACTGACCTGTGACTGACCTGTGACTGACCTGTGACTGACCTGTGACTGACCTGTGACTGACCTGTGACTGACCTGTGACTGACCTGTGACTGACCTGTGACTGACCTGTGACATGACCTGTGACATGACCTGTGACATGACCTGTGACGTGGCGTGTACTTGAATATTTCAGTCACACCGTTCGTCCAATGACTGGACTCATCTGGGTATTGGTTAGAAAAGGTTTCTAATAAGTTGGCATTTTGAAAAATGTTACAGTCAGAGAATAAAATAGAAAGAATGTNNCTAAAGTTGTATATGGTCTGTTTTGAATTTGTGATACACACAATACACAGCCGTTTATTTGTCTCTCTCTGCAGCTGGGGGACTTTTACCTGGAGCTTCACTGGGACTTCCAGAGTTGGGGTGAGTACAGATGGGGGGGGTGGGGGGGGTGGACTGTAAGAGTTCTGTCTGTGAAGGCAGTTACTGGTCAGTTACTGGTTAATCTGTTGTTGATTGTTTTCTGTCGACTTTCTTCTTGTTTCAGTTCCTCTCCTCTCCAGGATCCTCCCCTCAGACGCCTGTAAGATCTACAAACAGGGCATCAACATCAGGCAAGCCACGTCAACCGCAGAGCCACTGTGTCAGATAACAACAGACTTATGTTCTGGATTTATTAACCAGATAACTAACTAACTAACTGACCTGGTCTGTAGTCCATGTGCTGTCTGTTCTGAGTCAAAGCTTCTCAACTTTAAGAGATGATGTTGTTTTTTCTAAAAAAGAAATGAAGGAACAAAAAGAAAGAATTCTGGTTTCTGTCTGTGGTTCAGTGGTTCTGAGCCCAAGGTCTGTACTGTTGTGTTGAGGTCTGTTGTTTTGTGTTTGTACAGACTGGACACCACACTGATCGACTTCACAGACATGAAGTGTCAGCGCGGTGACCTCAGCTTCATCTTCAACGGTAACGCCGTCCCATCTGAGTCCTTTGTGGTCCTGGACAACGAACAGAAGGTCTACCAGCGGATACACCATGAGGTGAAGTGGAGGAACTGCAGCCAAGCTCTGCTGAATTATCACATTTCTCAAGCTAAAGCTAACGTTAGCAGGAACATTTTCTGTCCTATTAGGAGTCGGAGATGGAGACGGAGGAGGAAGTGGACATCCTGATGAGCAGCGATGTCTACTCTGCTACACTGTCCACAAAGTCCATCACGTTCTCGAGGGCACAGACCGGCTGGCTGTTCAGAGAAGACAAGACGGTCGGTGTCACATGTTGTTTTGGTCCCAAGGACTCACTTTTGTTTCCATAGGATTTTCAAGTAATTCTCTTAGGAATAAATAACTTAGGAATTTCATCAAACAAAGAAAAGAAACACATTTTATAAATAAATAATATCTTTTACATTTCTATACATTATATATTTTTGTGTAATACACATGTCATACATATATAGTGTTAATCCTTCCTTCTGCAGCGGTTGATTAGACTGAAGGATCGTCCATGTAGTTCTCAGTACTTCAGAGTGAAAATGTACTACAGTTCCTAGAAGTACAGGTCAGCTGTTCACTGCTGTTCACTGCTGTTCACTGCTGTTCACTGCTGTTCACTGCTGTTCACTGCTGTTCACTGCTGTTCACTGACTGCTGTCTGCTGTTCACTGCTGTTCACTGCTGTTCACTGCTGTCGACGCCCTCCGCTGGTCAGATCACCTTTCCTGCACTACACCCCCCACAGCAGCAGTGATAACCCTGGGAAGGAACCACAGGTGTCTGTGGCTCAAGGTTAAAAACAACAGACACAATAACAGGAGCTGCAGGTGGTGAAGGAGTTAGAGACGTGTCTTTGTGTCCTTTTGTCCTCAGGACGTGTTTTCAAATGAAACGGTGGACTCAGCAGGACGGACTTATCTTAACGTTCCTTCTGTCTCCAGGAGCGCGTGGGAAATTTCCTGGCTGACTTTTACTCTGTGAACGGCCTGGTTCTGGAGTCCAGGAAGAGGCGGGAGCATCTGAGTGAGGAGGACATCATGAGGAACAAAGCCATCATGGAGAGTCTGAGTAAAGGTGGAAACATCATAGAACAGAACTTTGAGGTGAGTTCATTGATTAGGTCTGACATACAAGAACCATGTGACATCACTCCACACCACAGAATGTTCCAGAACTTCCTCAGCCTTTCTGTGTGGTCTCCACATCAACACACAGGTTGAGGTTTGTTGTTGACAACAGTTGCCCTCAACAGTTGCCCTCAACAGTTGCTCTGTGTGTGTGGGACTGTTTCTCCTGAGGAAGTCTTTAATGAAGACCTGATGGTTGGGTTTTATCAGGTCTGAAAGACTGAATCTGAAGTTAAACCAGCAGCTGCAGTGACGTCACTCCGCCACTCATGGCCGCTCTTGTCAACATTTGTAAAGTGCAGCGTGCTTTGATAACACTGTTGAAGCTAGTGCCCTCAAAAGAGGGGGGAGGAGGGGGGGGGTCAGCAAGGCCTCAGCAGGCTGTTGTCAACAACACGTGGTCACTGATACAGTGTGTGTGTGTGTGTGTGTGTGACGTCACACATCCTACTGCTGACTTGTGTTTTTCCACATTTTTCTGCCCTGTTTGCTTAATTCATACACTGCCACACCAAAGGGGGGCAGTGTGTCGTAATAATGATTATTATTAATCTTACTTTAGTGAAACATCATCCAGACCACGTGACGACTGGAGGTTGTTGCTAAAGATTGTTATTTTCTAAACTGTTTGTTGTTTCTACCCATTTGAATAGAAAGACATGAACATGAGTGCGTCTGACCTGGAGATTAATGATCCAGTGGTGCCCCCTAGTGGTTCGTGCTATGCATTGTATCACCTTTACTTTAAAGAAAATACATAGTTAAATGACTTACAGGTGACATTTGACCTCATGGTTGAAGGTTTCAGTCATGGTCGAACGTCATGTATTTATTTAGTGACAGGATGAATGTTCTAACATCTGTGTTCACACATCATCACAACTGCCACCTGGCTGCAGGGCAGAGAATGACACGTCATCACAATACATGAAGATGATCTACAACCACCAGAGATTTGTTAGAATAATAATTAGACACTGTCCGACTGTTTTATCCTGTTTGGATTTAAAGAGGTGTTTGTCTCCCCCTGGTGTTTGGTGTTTAATCTGCAGGGATTTGGACCAAGATCTAACTTTTAACTCTGTTTTCATTCTCTCTCCTTCTGCACTACAGTCGGTGAGAAGACCATCTCTGACGCCCCCGTCCCCCAGCACCATCTGCTGGGAAGAATATATCAATGCAGACAACGGAAGGTGAGTGAAGAACTCAACAAATAGTTTCAAAAGACAGGGGGGGGGGCACATGTTTCCATAAACGGTGACGGTGAAATGTCAGGTTTGGATCCTGATCTCACACAGTGGCTGGTGTTTCCTGTGGTTTCAGAGCTCCTCATCTGGGACGAGAACTGATCTGTAAGGAGAGCAAGAAAAACTTCAAAGCCACCATAGCCATGAGTCAAGACTTCCCTCTGGGAATCGAATCGTGAGTCCAGTTCTTCACTTTGTTGATGAGAACCACTGTCGTGAGACCGTGATCAAACTGACAAACGTCTCAGTCTTGTTTCAGTGACGATGATTTGAATTTGTCTTTGATGTTTTTTATATTGATCGTGTGTTTGTTGCTTTGCTTTAAAGCTTAAAAGTTCCACTGTTGGACTTTAGTGTTCACTTAGTGAAAGGTAAACAGACGTCCACAAATATATGTCATAACCACACAAAGCAGCTGCTGACGACAGGAAGTGATACTGACAACAGGAAGAGATACTGACCACAGGAAGTGCTGCTGATGACAGGAAGTGATACTGAAAACAGGAAGAGATACTGACCACAGGAAGTGCTGCTGATGACAGGAAGTGATACTGAAAACAGCAAGTGATACTGCAACAGGAAGTGATACTGCAACAGGAAGTGATACTGCAACAGGAAGTGATACTGCAACAGGAAGTGATACTGCAACAGGAAGTGATACTGACAGCAGGAAGTGATGCTGACAACAGGACGTGATGCTGACAACAGGAAGTGATGCTGACGACAGGAAGTGCTGCTGACGACAGGAAGTGATGCTGACAACAGGAAGTGATACTGAAAACAGCAAGTGATACTGCAACAGGAAGTGATACTGACGACAGGAAGTGATACTGACGACAGGAAGTGATACTGACGACAGGAAGTGATACTGACGACAGGAAGTGATACTGACAACAGGAAGTGCTGCTGATGACAGGAAGTGATACTGACAACAGGAAGTGCTGCTGACGACAGGAAGTGCTGCTGTCAAATATAAGTCTGATTAAATTCCCTCTTGATGTGTTACTTCCGTACAGACTCTCAGCTCATCCTGTCATCGTAGTCTTGAATTGTTTGGGTACGACTGCACAGAGCAGTCGGTGATCTGTGTTGCTGTACACCAGAGAGTGATTTAAAACCACCAAACTCAGCAGCGTTGTTTTGTTTTTTTTTCTCAGGTTGTTAAATGTTCTGGAGGTGATTGCACCTTTCAAGCACTTTAATAAACTCAGAGAGTTTGTACAGATGAAACTCCCTCCTGGTTTTCCTGTCAAACTCGGTGAGTGATGTTTCACATGCACTGGTTAAAGTAAACTGTTGTAGAATCTTGTAAAGACCATAATTCCTCTCTGTCGCCTGCAGACATTCCTGTCTTTCCCACCATCACGGCCACCGTGACGTTTCAGGAGTTCCGCTACGACGAGTTCGATGACTCCATTTTTATCATTCCTGATGACTATAAGGAAGATCCTAGTCGCTTCCCCGACCTTTAACCTCTCTGGAACCTGAAACAGAAGAATATTGTTCTGCTGTGCGTGACCGTGCTATGAAACATTTTTTTGAAATGCAAAAGGAAATCTGGAGGGAAAACGATTTTGATATGATTATAAACCACGGCCAGTCAACGGAGTTTGATCAAAGACGTGGTTCGGATCTGTGGTGTGGGACGCGACCGATCAGTGAAGAAGAAGAAGACGAAGCTGCTGAGGTTCCAAGTATGTGAGTTAGGGAGCGTGTTCAAACTGAGGTGTAGTGAAGCACTGATTCTATGGTGTAAAGAAATCCACTCATGGTCCAACCAGAAACCAGGTTTTTAATGTTCTTTTTCTATTGCTGTAGATTTTAGGAAATCCTAGGGTTCAAAGTCATTTTAACTTTGTGATACCAGATGTTACATCTCTGAGACAGACGTGGCACTGACTGAGTGTCACACTAACTTTGAACATTTTAGCAAAGTTATTACCTTTCCTATAGAAAATAAGACAAAACATGTGGAATAATGTAGTGTCACTGAGGTGAAAAACCGCAGCTTTTTTCAGATGGTACCGTAGATGATTCAGGTGACGTGTGGTGTCGGAGCATTCTGTTGTTAACCTTCTAAAGGAAGAGTCTCGAACTCATTAAAAATGAATTGATGCCAGTTTAAAACCAGACATTTACTTTTCTGTTTCTTTGCTGTTCTTTTTTTATTTGTACCTTGACGTTTTGTTGGTGGGTTTTTATGTAGTAAAGAGTTTGTTTCGTCATCGGGTCGTAACATTTTTTATACCTTTTTTATATCTGTTCTGCTTCGTTCTCTTTATTTCTTCTCACCAAACATGATCGGCTAAAATTCATGACCAAAGTGGGTGGAGTCCAAATTAATAATGATTCTGGTTCTGGAAACAATTTGAGAGGGGATGACTCGAGAAAGAGTCTGTTCAGCTGCTGTGGTCCACGAAGATGTGATGATGTTGACCCAGAGGTTCTGGAGGATGTGATGATGTCACAGATGTTCTGGAGGATGTGATGATGTCACAGATGTTCTGGAGGATGTGATGATGTCACAGATGTTCTGGAGGATGTGATGATGTCACAGATGTTCTGGAGGATGTGATGATGTCACAGATGTTCTGGAGGATGTTCTGGAGGATGTGATGATGTCACAGATGTTCTGGAGGATGTTCTGGAGGATGTGAGATGTTCTGGAGTGATGTTGATCCAGAGGTTCTGGAAGATGTGATGATGTCAGATGTTCTGGAGCATGTGATGATGTTGATCCAGAGGTTCTGGAAGATGTGATGATGTCAGATGTTCTGGAGCATGTGATGATGTTGATCCAGATGTTCTGGAGGATGTGATGATGTCAGATGTTCTGGAGGATGTTCTGGAGGATGTGATGTTCTGGAGGATGTGATGTTCTGGAGGATGTTCTGGAGGATGTGATGAGGTTTTCCTGCTCTTCCTCCACATTAATTTATCCATTTGTCCATTTATGTGTCCATTTATGTCCATGGTTTGTTCTGCAAAACAGGGAATGTCTGTCAGTGACACTATTTTCCTATAAAACTAAAATATAAACTAAAGTATTAAAAAAATGAACTTGTCTCTTTTATATCATTTTATAATTGCATTATTTTAACAAAATAATAATAATATTCTTTATTATTATTCACAGTTTTCAGGACGATCTATAAAAACAAACACTACAAAAACACAGCCACAAAAACAACCCTTTTTGTCAAGAATCTCACATTCAAACTGGTGCTGCTTTCACTGAGGTCCAGTATCTGATGGTACAACAACAGCTGGAACGTCTTCAGTAACCACGTGACCAAACAGGTGGAGCAGTGGAGATCCACCGTGGACGTGTTTCCTGATGTCAAATAAAATTATTCTGTTTAAAAAAAAAGAAAAACCTCTCGTTGACGTGGTCGAGGATCTGCTTCAACACGTGCCTGCGTCATCATTTACGATGTACGTCACCACGTCACCTACGTCCTGCGTCACCAGGTGTCATGTCGTACATTGATTGAAAAGACACTTCAGGTTGTTGTGTTGTTGTTTCGATGTCGGTGAAGTTAGTCGTGTTTTAGAGCTCGGTTTATCTTTGGTTTGTAACTATTGGTCGTACGTTGACGGTTTAGCACAAATACGACGATAATACGTTATTGCACTTTAAGCAAAAGTGAAGAGCGGGAAACGGAGGCGGATAAAAAGCTGCAAAACCAACAATGACAGCGACTCGGCCCCAAAACAGGTAAAATTATCCAAAAACTTTTTAAAAAAACGTTTTATATTCTGTGTAAATAGTTGTTGTTGATTATTTAGTTGTTTGTGAGATAAATTTGACGAGGAAAAAAGTGAAGGGTTAAAAACGGCAGGGTTTAAAATGTATTTCGTTC